ATGTGATGCAACAAGGGAGTGCTAGGCGAAGTCATGCATATCTGATATAACTTTTTAGGCAATAAACCAATTAAATTTAGAGCTACAACCAATCCAAGTGACCTAGGGTCAGATATGAAGATCAGAACCAGCCCAAAACTAACCTGCCTTTTTACTCGAGAGCTCAGTTTTATGGGGCAGTTTCTGGTGTTTATTCCGAGTTAATTAATGACAGGGACCGCAACAAACATTTTTCATGGACTTTTCAAAGGCCAGATTAAATCATCTATCTAAAATTACCCACGCCAACATTATATCTTTATGAACATACCTTATTTGACCCCCCAATGTCATAACTACAGGTACAGGAATTTAGATGCAGATCAGTCTACTGCGTGAATTACATGTTTCTAGCTATCACGTTTTCAGACCTCAGGAGGTCACATTGATCCCCACTCTAACGAAAGATATTAAGGCAGCCACCCGGGGGCGTGTTAAAAGCACCTTAATATTCTTCAAAACTTAGGTCAATATCCTGCGATCGGCTATAATATCGATGATCACTAGAGACGTAACCAATGGCTCTGCCTGAACACAATTAGGTGCGAAAGCTGATGTGATTTAGTTGGAGGACTTCTCCGTTACAGACCAGCTCCGTAGAATCTCTGCCAAGGGACGCTTCTAGCACGCACTTCACGGCAGCCAGCAGTCATCTCGCATGCGATCATTGCCCAAAACACTGCTGCGGACCCAAGGACGTCTCTAACCGCAATTCATAGTAGTTGGCGGAGGCTTCCTCTCGTGTCACCGTTACTTAGAACCACCCTATCTTCTCCCCACGCACCTCGTAGTAGGTGGTGAGGGCTTCCTCTCGTGTGACCGTGACTTAAAACCGCCCGATCTTCTCCCCACGCACCTCACGGTAGCTGGCGAGGCCTTCCTCTCGTGTGACCGTGACTTAAAAAACCGCCCGATCTTCTCCCCACGCACCTCACGGTAGCTGGCGAGGCCTTCCTCTCGTGTGACCGTGACTTAAAACCGCCCGATCTTCTCCCCACGCACCTCATAGTAGCTGGCGAGGCCTTCCTCTCGTGTGACCGTGACTTAAAACCGCCCGATCTTCTCCCCACGCACCTCATAGTAGCTGGCAAAGCCGGTCTCGCGCGTGAACCGGGCCGGCTTGCCGCCATCCATGACAGGGGCGGCCGATGTCGTACTCGACGCTGTTGTTGAGCGTGTACGTGCGACCGTACGTCGGCATGCCGATCAGCATCTTCTCCGGCATCGCGCCCTCCTTCACCCACTCCCGCGCCGCGTAGTCCTGGTGACGTCAGGCGAGGTTAGCCGAGGCCACGTCGAGGGAGGGGGGGGGGGAGGGGGTGAATGGGCGAATGGGTTCTGTGGAGCATGTGAAGCAGTTGGCGCTGCTGAGTTTACGAACGCAGGTGGTAGCATTTCGTCAGCACCTGTCAGAGTATCGTCGAATCTCATGCCACTTTGAGGAAGCCAAATTTTGATGTTGAGATTTTCAGCGAATGAGAATTGCGTCATAGTATGCATCAATCAAATGCAAACCCTCGGCGAAGTTAACAGTCATAAGACAAATTTGGGTTCAAGGGAACATATTTTGCGGCATGGTGTGTTTGTGCCCTTCGTGGTCTATCTACATGACGAAAGCTTGCGTCTATCGGTGAAGATAGGGTTGGAATATTTGAAATTTATCTGAGGCATTTATTTTACAACTGTGCACTACTGATAGATTATGATCAGATGATGATCAATAGTCATTTGACGTTCCGATATGAACATTCCATTTCGGGCAGGTCGTCATTCCGAGAACCTCTGCGGCTAGGTTCACGATCACTGGATGTTCTATCATGGGCAAAGTCAATGCAACATCTCTTGAGTTTCTTCCGAAAACAACGCTCCCATCTTAGATCACCAGAAATAATTTACGAGCTTTGGTAGTGAACGTGTCATGTTATTACGTCTGCATACATTATTGGTGAGGAATTCTGAAGGCAAGTGCTGTTAGCGCAATGGGAAACGTGGTGCACCAAGTCGGTGGCCATGTCAGCCAGCCAATGGGAAACGTGGTGCACCAAATCGGTGGCCATGTCAGCCAGCCAATGCATGCCAATGTCTCGCTTCGGTTTCAGCTCGAATGTCCGAGAAGAGAAGAACGATAAGGGCACTCCGAGGACGGAGCGCGATGTCCGGAGCACGATGTCCGGGAGCACGATGTCCGGGAGCACGATGTCCGGGAGCACGATGTCCGGGAGCATGATGTCCGGGAGCACGATGTCCGATGTCACGATGTCCGTGGTAGCCACACGCGCGAGTGAACAATCACGACCAGCCTTAACATGCGCGAGGAATACGTGATTCCCACGTGTCGATCGAACACTCACCACACTCATTTTGGACTCGTCTCTAGAGGCTGTCTCCAGTGGGTAGAGCGAGCGTTATGTCCCACCACGCTGTCCCAGTTGGTGGTGGAAGTCGTACGTCATGATGTTCATGAAGTCGAGGTGCTTGGCGATCTCCGGAACGTCGTAACTTAGAAAAACAGAAATACAATAAACATGCTGCGTAGGGGTTTCTAGTGCACGCATCTTCTAGTCTGGTATACGCGACGTCGACAAGCACGCATAGGTAAACATGAAGAAATGAATCCGTGAAAGGTAAATTGACACAAAATCATATGTAATCGTGCCAAGAACATTTGAGAGATTGAGGGATACGGTGTATTCCTCACAAATCGAGCTTTCATCGAGCTGACTGAATTGACTTGGATTCAGCCGCGAGACACCTCATTCTGAAACCGATAATTCGGGTAAACACATACTGGACGGGATTGAAACCAGCCGAGGCCGCCTTGTTCGGAGAAATAACTTGGTGCGATTCGTTGTTTGTACCGTTATGACATCAGCCCGGAAGCCCTGGAAACGCTACCACACCCTTCAATTTTGGAGCTCTCAGTACATCTATGCACTGACCTCCCCGGGATATATAGCACCTACTCACACCACACCACCTGTAGACGTCCCTGGGCATGCCCCTATTCTGCAGCCAGGGTAATCATGGACCCTCGCTTGCCACCCCTCGGTACCCTCCTGCGCCAACGTACCCGGAATAGATGGCTTCGGCACTGTCCGGCAGAGCGCTGTCAGCAGCAGACGCGATTTCTGGCTCGAGGCCGCCTCGCCCTCGAAAGCCAGCTTGAACTCCGCGAAATCAGCTTGCTGTAGGCCGAGCCGGTCCGTTGGAGCCGCCTGTAACAGAGATGACTGTTGAGGTCCTGTTCTCAGGGCCCGGATGCGGAGGGGGCAGGTTCACTCAGGCAGGCAGGCAGCGCCACGTGCGGCCGCTTGTTGGCGGCTGTGGGCGATGAAAGCTCCTTTCGAATGGCTGGCTAGGCCTGGCTGATGAATGCTCTTTCTTTTTATTTCTTGACGCACTTTGAATGACTTGGCAGCTGGATCAGGGCTTTAGGAATGTAGAGAAACTAGGAGATAGAGAGCTAGAGGCAAGTGAGATAGGAGGTAGAGAGCTAGAGTAGAGATGCTAGGAGGTGGAGAGCTGGATAAAAGAATCACTTCCGATTGGTGGCCGGGCTAAGGTTAAGATAAACGGTTTTACGTTATCCAGCATCCCACGCTGACAAAGGCAGACGGGAATAATGGCTGCAGTGCGATAGTTATCTAAGATACAACTCTATTTGACAGAAACGAAGCTCCCGTTTCCGGCACCATGACTGAAGGTCTAGTGTGATGACCTTATTTGAACTAATAAATCTTCAGATTTGATCTCGTGGCGGCCAGTGAAGTTGACCGGAGACAGCTGCGTTTATCGGAGCAAAGCACATGGACTAAAGTCGGCAGGAGCTGGAGCTGCGGAGCGCAGAACGCTGACTCACCTGGGGTACTCCCAGTCCACGTCAATGCCGTCCAGCTTCTTCTTGCGAATGAAGTCGACGGTATCGTACACGAAGTTGTTCATCTTGTAGTCGCTGGAAGTGAGCTCCTGGAAGGGCTCAGGTCCGGCAGACCATCCGCCCAACGCCAACAAAATCTGAGGCGGGGAGGCTGCTGCGTCACCATCGGGTCGGCACCTCGGCATACGGTTTCAATGCACTGGCCACCTCCGCTCAGTGCCGTCCGAGCCGGCCCTGAGCCGTGGTCCAGCCCGTAGAGACGTGTGCTGGGACAATGGCCGGAGACGGGGGAGAAGATCGTGACGTGCCTGCTCGACGGAGGGTGTGAGCGGGCAGAGACGTCATGGTTTGGGAAAGAGCAGGCACCTAAACGCACTTGGTCCTCGTGGAGGTCGACATAGGGGGAGCCCGTGACACTGAAGTCATAGTCCTACGCTCGTATTCAATGAAAACGTCATACCCTACTCTGCATCGCGTGTAACATTATTAAACCCCGAGTTGGGCCCATCAAAAGCGCACCATGCATCGATGATATTCGGACCATGTCCCTGGACCTTTTGTGAATTTTTAACAGCTGTTGTGGATGAGATTCTCTGAACATCCCTCCCCATAATTCCGCTGTCTCTCGGGAGTACACGGCAATGAAACCAACACGCTTCAAAAGCAATGGACATGACAGCATTCCATGTTTTTGCCTCAAATTTAGCCAAATTATCTCAACCACCTCGCCCGTCTCCTGGTATACAACGCTATTGACCGCACTGTGTAAGGCAGGGGGTAGTCGAGGCTGCGCACAGGACGTGTCAAAGTCTGGGCACGGGGGGGGGGGGGGCCTTAAGGCCGAGGGGTTCTTTCGGCCAAGGGGTCCTTCGGCCGATGGGGCCAACTTCATCGCTATAAAAACCCTTATTTTGGGGTATTCGTGAACCTTTCTAAACTCCAGATCGCATTCTGATGCCTCGATGGCCCGTTTGTAAATCAGACTACTGGTGCAAGACCGTTCAGGTCTGCCAAAGTAGCGTTCACCGAACACCGGCCGCGGCCACCGAAAGCCAGCCCGGCACCTTGAGCTTGTTGTTTGGCGTCCCGCAGGCGCAGCAGCTGCTGGTAGTCGCTGTCCTCGTCCCTGGAGTCCTGGTCCGGCGACGGCAGCTCGATCTTGCCCTGGCGGATCGACCCGAAGGCCCAGACCACGTGCGTGCAGAGGGCAGGGTCCAGGTCTGCCGGCGAGAACCGGCCGCGGCCAGGCCGGTCGCGCGCCCAGCTCGACACGTAGCAGAAGACCTTCGGCGCCGACACTGCCGGCCAAGGTCGAATTAAGGTCAGATCGGCGGCCTCGACGTTGGCGGCCGTGCTCGGCAAGACTTTGCGGGAGCTAATTATCTGTTAAGGACAACGTCAGTAGATAGAGAGTGGCATGAGGTGAAGTCACCCACATGCAGCAGCAAAAGCTTGACTTGCGATATGCGCACAGGGCCTACAGCAAGGGTATTGCTGGGGAATGTGGAACGGTGCATGTATGAAAAGAAAAGCAGGCATGCAAAAAAGTAGGTTCAGGCAGAGCATCATAGTGACCAGTTATGCATTACGTATTCATAATACATTAAAACATGTAGCCTTAGTCGGTCAGCTGTGTGGTGCATGGTTTTAGTTGCCTGAAAACCGCCTGATGGCATATTTTACAGAAGGAACAGCAGATCCAGCCGTGGTGCCGTGGTACATCTATAGCATCGCCGTTATGAATAACAAGCATGGGGCAAAAAGCAACAGCAATTACGAGCATGAGGCACAAGGCAGCAGCGATAGGCAGCGAGTCGTAACCAACACGAAGTGTATGCACTATATCATAGATAGTACAGCATTGATTCATGACTATAGTTTAACTGCGTTTCGTCCCCTCAGGCTTTTTTGCGCAGGGAGTGACGAATACGCCGCAGTTGTTTTATACTTTATACCAACAGGTGCAGTGAAGCATGCAGTATAATCTTAGCACGGCTGCAGTGGTGAAAGGTTACAGATGCCGCGCTGGCCGCAGTACTTCGTTCGACTACCGATGCGAAACCGTGAATCAACCAGGCATGCCTCCGCATGGTTCGGGCATGTGTCTGTGGGTCTGCACGGCTGTCTGCACGACTTCAGATCGAGAGCAGTCGAGGCGTGCGACGGACGCTCCGCCCTCGTGTTTGTTTCCCAAAGGCCTGCTCCAGGATTGATGAGCTTCGTGATCGAGGTCAGAAGCTCCCCTCTCGAGGTCAACGCCAATGGCCATCAACTAAGCCGGTGTCTTTCAGCGAGCGTGGCTGTTGTATCCGCCAATATCCCGAGACATCTCCTCTTGCGTTTCATTTCCCGACATGACCGATGTTTCTCCCTGGACGAACTAGGATGCCCCAGTGTCCTGCTTTACACTGTGATTGAGTTCTTTAGGTTTTGGGCTCATCCCAGGGTACAAATTTGGGTTAAACTCTTTTCACACCGAGCCATTCTAAGCACAGAACATCGGACACAGTACTACCTCTAATTAAACACCGAAAATTATCTAAGCTGCTACTTCACGCCTAAATCGGCTCCTTCAGCTTTATTCCGCATAATGTTTTGACTACAACACATCACTCACACCATAATATAATAAACAAACATGCTAATGAAGAGATTGTTGACTGGCCTTCACTGGACATCATAATGGTTCCTATCTTATCAATGTGAGCATTTGTTTTTCCTAGTTTCCAAATAAAGTGCGGTGGCTTGCAGTGGTGAAGGCCAAACAAACAATTATGTCGCTATTTTCTCCGGAGACCACTAAGCAGCAGCTGCAAAACCATATCCTGCACATTGTGATGCATTCGCAACAGAAAACAGAATACGACATGGTAACTACGATAACGACTAGACTACAGGAGCGAACGAGGTCTTTTTGCGAACATTGGCGGGCATGATAATCTCCGCTTGAACCAAACGAGCAGCTAGTCTAACACAATTCGTAAAACGTAAAAAGACGCAACATGACAGTCTCCTGGAGCGTCTTGCCTTGTTTTGCCGCCTGGCTGCTGTTATTCGTCCCTGGTTTGTCTTCCTCGGGGTCGTCTGGCGCCAGAGCGTGGCGGGATCCCTGATTCCAAGAATGGATTACTCCCATAATACAAGGGCGTCGGCTTCGGCGTGGGCGTAAGCTTCTCGTCCTGCATCGCCGGCATATCCAGCTGCTTCGGCTCCGTCACCATCGGGCTGCCATCTACAGCTGGCGCCACATGCGCCATCTGCTTGAGGAATGGATTGTCCCTGTACTGTGGCGGCGTGTCCGAGTCCCCGATAGCCGCTGGCCAAGTGCGGAGGTTCAGAAGGCCGTCAACAGATGTCGGCACTATGCTCGGCCGAGGTCGCGCGATCCTCGTCCGGATTGTCAACGTTCCTTGCGCCCGCCGTGGGTACGCTGCCGCCTCGTGTCCCATCAAGGTCGCCGGCTCTCGCGATGTCGTGGTGCCCGGCGTTACGGGCGTTTTCCGCTCTCCGGCGACTGGTGATGCCGGTACGTTCCTGCGCGCGGGGGCCGGCGCGGAGGCCTCTGTCGTCCCGTCTCCCGCCGCTGCCTGAGGCTGGAATGACGCGCTCACCGCCCCAGCTGCAATGTTCAGCCAAGCCCTTGTCAAGCGGCGTAAAGCGGGGATAATGGTTAGTTAGACGGACGTTTGCGGCTGCGCCCTGCCCCCCCCCCCCCCCCCCCCTATCGCATTCCCCCAAGCCCAGTGCGTGGTAAGCCGGCAAATCTAGCCAGAAGCCGATTAGCGTATCATGCAGAGATCCAGCTGTTTTAGCCGTCAGAGCCAGCCAAAAGCCCATTAGTACGTCATACGCAGCCGGGGCGCACCGGCCACGCGTTGTACTCACGGTTGTCGTCGAAGCGGTCGATGATGGCGTTGCCGCTGGTGCCGGTGCCGCCGCCGGCCGAGGTCAGCGAGATCTGACCCAGCTTCTGGACCGTCTTGGCGTCCGGGGTAATGCCTACGAGGCGGACACGGACGTGGCAGGTCAGACACGGACCGGAACAGAGGTCAGACACAGACAAGAGTGGGCCAGATGCAGACAGAGACAGATCATCCATGAGCTGAAACGGATCAGTACTGGCACTGGCCAGAACAGATAGAAATGGATTGGGTGCTGGGCGGAGCAATCACGCATGCGGCACAGTTGAGTTAGGTTAAATCCCAGTGGCTGAGACTGAGTAGTTTTGGTAGGGCGCCAAGGCAAATGCAAAACTTTTTTCTGGAGCGACAGCGCTTTATTAGATATGCCCGTAAATTGAAGGGAGCAGCCAGATGCATGACGGCTAAACGGACGTTATTGCGTGATCTGAGCGACATCCTGCCTTAGTATTGATTTATCACGTAATATCTAAGACCCTTGTAGATTTCAAGCCAGTGAGTTTGTTCTATAAGTCTATGAACGTTTTTTCACTGTGTAAGTATTTGTGCTCTGAGACTTAATAACAACTTTTGACTTAAGCCTTCACCCAAGCCTGATACTAATTCGAAATTCGAGAATAAACATCTAGATGCATCAATCAGAAGATTCTCCGTTTAATTTACATTTGGACGTAGAGAGCTTGCTGGTGACTAGGTCACCATGTACCCCCCCCCCCCCCCCCCCCGCCTTATTCAAATGTCCCCATCAAACATCTGTCATCCCCATGGGACTTCCTTCCAACATCATTTCGTCACCACACGCTACTGTTACATGGTTTCTCCAGACACCGCACATGTCACACTAGGCTTCTGCTCACCCTGCGCCTTCAGCAGGCAATGATGTCAGCGGTGCTGAGTTTGGAGATGATCGGCGCCGTAGATATCGCAGGCCGGGCCCTCGACGGCGAGATCTTAGTCCAGTCGATGTCCTTCTTCTTGTCCGACCGTGATATACCCAGCAGCTCCTCTCTGCAATGTTCACACATTTTGTGGACAAGGCTGCTGGATTGTGCTATTTTTCAGCATTTTGTCTTTAGCGTTTGATTATTGCGCCAACAACGTAAAGACATTTTAAGATAAACGCTATAATTTTAAAATTAAGTGCGGCTTTGACAAAGCTACTACAAAAAAATGAACACGCACGCTATGTGCGTTTGTCCGGGTAACATTTAGCTTGCAATCGCTCATTTGACCGCATATATATATATATATATATATATATATATATATATATATATATATTGGTATTGATATTTTCATGTAATCGCTCGGTCTAACATTTGTATCATAACATTTACCCGTCATAACCACGATGGCCGATCACACGGCGCGCGCCGACGGCACCTTACAAATACCGTCGTCTTCTATACAACGCCAAACGCATCTGCGTCGTCCTGTCCTCTCACCATACTGTTTTTCGGATACCCCAGCTTTGATGGGTCAGATGATTATGGCCCACCAAACCTGAAGAGGCCAAAAAAACAGCTTTGCCTTCTATTCGCCTCTATTCTATTTGCCTCTCTCTCTCTCTCTCTCTCTCTCTCTCTCTCTCTCTCTCTCTCTCTCTCTCTCCTGCTCCTCCTCTCCTCTCTCTCTCTCTCTCTCTCTCTCTCTCTCTCTCTCTCTCTCTCTCTCTCTCTCTCTCTCTCTCTCTCTCTCTCTCTCTCTCTCTTCTCTCTCTCTCTCTCTCTTTGACTCCTCTTCCTCTTCGTTCTTCGCTCACCTCATACCGTTCTCTCACTTGCTCCCTCCTTCTCCTCTGTTTTTCCTCGCTTATGCCGTACATTCCCCACCTGCCTCTTCTTCTCCCCTCTCGCTCTCTCTCACCTCATGTCGTACCTCCCTTACCTGCCCCTCTCCTCCTCCCCTCCTCCTCCTCCTCCTTTTGTCTTCGTTTATTCATGCCGTGTCTCTCTCACTTGCCTCTCCTCCTCCTCCTCCGTTTTTTCCACCTTATGCCGTACCTCCCTCATCTGCTCCTTAGCTCCATCCCCTTGTTCTCCCCTCACCTCATGGCCGAAATCAGCGGGTACTGGCGCCCTTACAGGCCGCCGCGTTGAAGTCGTCCATGTCCAAAGACCAGACCATGGCTCTGCCAGGCCCATATCCTTGATGAAGTCCATCTTGATGCGAATGGAGCGCTCGTCGTCGAAGCCGACCCACTGGTTGCCGTCGACCAGGTACGGCACGGACATGTCCGTGTCCCAGGTGTACTGGGGCGCCGTTGTAGAGCATCTCGCACAGCTGCCAGGCGAGAGAGAGGTTGTTCAGTGCTGCGGCGGGAAAACGGGCGACCGACAGCGTGAGGTGGAGAGCGGGTGGTCGAGAGTCGTGAGGTGGAGAGTGGGTGGCCGACAGCCGTGAGGTGGAGAGCGGGTGGTCGAGAGTCGTGAGGTGGAGAGTGGGTGGCCGACAGCCGTGCGGTGGTGGAGAGCGGGTGGTCGAGAGTCGTGAGGTGGAGAGCGGGTGGTCGAGAGTCGTGAGGTGGAGAGCGGGTGGTCGAGAGTCGTGCGGTGGAGAGCGGGTGGCCGACAGCCGTGAAGTGGAGAGCGGGTGGCCGACAGCCGCGAGACGTGGGGCTATCCATTGCATGCCCACACTGGATACTTGAACGTGAGTCAGTAAAAATTATACGCCCTTGCCTTTTCATTTTTCTGGGCCAATGCCTATGGGCGTTAGTATTAGAGCCAAGCTAACTGCTTGTACGATTGCGGGATGCGTCGACGATAATTTTGATTTGAGCACATACACATGATTTGACATGTGTTTGGGTGACATATGTCCAGTAAATCAGTACCCAGGGCCTTCAGGCGAACAGATTGCGCATGTTTTAGAGCATGGATTTTTCCTTCGTGGTTTCCAGACTAAAGTGACGCATTCGTGGCATACGGCCCAGTCATCTCCAGTCGGCAGGGATCCTTACAATGATGAGTGTTTCGGGGTAAGGGTGCAATGAAATGAATTATTAGTGTGGCCATCTGGTTATCGAATCAAAACAAATCGTGGTAATCATGCGTTTTCATGCCTGAAACAGTTCTACCAAGAAAATGTGTGAAGGTTTTCACGGCTTCATCGTCCCTCTGCCCCCCCCCCCGCATGCTGCCGGTAGGCAGTGACGCACTCTTCAGTCCGCCCCCTTTCCGCCGCATTCGTCTGCTCACCTCGTAGTAGGCCAGGGAGCCGGCCTCCTTGGTGTAGGTGCCGGCGTTGCCGCCTCCGCTGGCCGGGGCGTTTACGGCGGGGTTGGCCGGGTTGGCCAGAGTGAAGCTACGGCCGTACGTCGGCATGCTGCAACAACAGATGTCCGGGCGATTACGGCGGGGTTGGCAGGTTGGCCAGTATGAAGCTACGGCCGTACGTCGGCACGCTGCAACAACAGATGTCCGGGCGATTACGGCGGGGTTGGCCGGGTTGGCCAGAGTGAAGCTGCGGCCTTACGTCGGCACGCTGCAACAACAGATGCCCGGGCGATTACGGCGGGGTTGGCCGGGTTGGCCAGAGTGAAGCTACGGCCTTACGTCGGCATGCTGCAACAACAGATGTCCGGGCGATCACGGCGGGGTTGGCCGGGTTGGCCAGAGTGAAGCTACGGCCGTACGTCGGCACGCTGCAACAACAGATGCCGGGCGATTACGGCGGGGTTGGCCGGGTTGGCCAGAGTGAAGCTACGGCCGTACTTCGGCATGCTGCAACAACAGATGCCCGGGCGATTACGGCGGGGTTGGCAGGTTGGCCAGTGTGAAGCTGCGGCCGT